TTTTTTTTAATTTGTTTATTATTTGAACTTTTGGTCAATGGCAACAGGTAAAGTTCAGGAAGAATATTAATAAGTTTAAGCGAATTATCATTTTACTTTAAGAAGTGATAGAAACAAACACAATGGTGGCTGCCGATACACCAACAGAAACAACTATAGCAAATGAAAATCAAAATATAACGAGTACGAGTGGTGGTGATTCACAAGGTAAGTCCTTTATCTATCTGTTTTGCTTTCTTTTCACGTATGTTTAACCTCTTTTGTAGCGAGTTCCAGCGGTGATAGTAATACTTTCACATGGGTTTTGTCGGCGTCTGTACCCCGACCAATGACTGCATCAACTGCGGCGAATGGTCAAGAAAGAGGCAAGTTTGTGGTAGTTGTTTGTCTCTTATGATTTTTATTTTTTATTTGGCTTTTATCTCGTTTTAGAAGGCAGAAGAACAAGAAGAGATGGTGTCCGTCAACAACAAGCAGTTCAGCATCAGAACGGTTTGAACAGGCAACATGATAGACGAAATGGCAATGGCTCTGGCAGTGGTAGTCGTGTTCGAGGTCGAGGTCGAAGTCGTCAACAACGACAACGTATTTATCGTGGTTAGTATTGTTTCATTATCGATAGATGATCTTTGCGAAAGATAAAGTTTAGAGTTAAGTTTCTTTGGCATGAAAAGTAAATAAAGAAACTGACAGACTGTCAGAATACTGTTCTTACAGTTTATTAGAAATTATGTGACTGATAAGGGTTGTTTGCAATTCACACAACTTTCATACAACTTATCTCATAGCGTTTGGTTTACATACCACTTGCATCCTCTCTTTCACATATACAACTGTACAAATATGAGGAAATAATAACAGTTTAATAAGCGATAGTGTTCGAAAAGTGTGATGTACATTATAGGTAATAACTAACAACTGTAATGATGTTTTAGGTATGTTCCATGAACAAAGTGCGCGCGATCGTCCTTGTCGTAACTGTTTATGCTGTTATTTTTTTCGATCCATGCTTTATCATTAGATATTTTTTCAACTCATATTTTCTTTAAAAATGTTTTTCTGTGTTCTTTATAGCACTTTAAAGAGAGGGACAGTATGGAAATAAAAAGAAAAAGGAAAAAGCAATAATTGTTTGATCTAAATTATCTTTCTGATACTACAGATGATTGCGTATCTTCAATTGCGAAGACTTCAATTGCGTATTTTCTATTCTTCCTTCTTTTGTTTTTAGATTTTTCGTTCTTTTTTCTTGGAATGCATATGCAACTGAGAGATCAGAGTTATTTACCAAGTCATTACTGGCGTGATTTGCACTATCAAACGGGACCTTTTGTACGCAGTCCTACTGCTGCTGATCGTGCCTCCGCGCATCACGTCCACGCAAGGGAACCCGAGTTTCTGCGTACTTTAACTCCCCACGTTCAGCAAACAATTTATCGTGGAGCTATCGATAAGCGCAAGGGACAAAATCGAAATGCCTTGTACCCGTTAAGCCCTGCACAGTATCGGCAACTAGAAGCAGCGGGATTACGCAAAAAATATGCGCCATGTCAGTTTTTGCTTCAAACATTCCGTCTAAGAACTGAATTTCGTGTAGGTGACTATCGACGTGCAGCTGCAAATATACAATTTCGATTATTCGAAAAAAAAACGAATATTGAAAATCGAAAGTGGTCCGCTCCTTTTTTACGAATGCGGTTTCAACAAAAGGCTGCTGAGTTTATCATGTAAAAAGGTCACCACCTCCTCAAGTCTTTACGTATAGTTGCTCACATCTATGTTTTCCTTTTTTTCTCTCTCTTATGTATCTCAAAATCGTATGGTAAATCACAACAACCCGGTTTTTCCGTGTTTTTGTAAGTTAAGTTTTTCCTCTGTTGCTGCTCACGCTTGCTGTTGCTTGAATTTTATTTTTATTTTTGCATTTTATTATTTTGCATGGGATCTTAGTAGAA